GGCTGAGAAACGCAGCAGATTATCATATATCCATTGCCCAGTCCTTCACTGAAGGGTTCTAATCCCTCGTCCCCTTTCCCTGCGGTAAACTCCTTACCATAGGCTGAGACTCTTGCCTGCCTGATCACGACAGTGGTGAATTGATAAGGTCACCAGGTTAAAGCCCAAGGCTCAAGCCCAAGCTTCACATACAATGTCGATTTTTACAGTCATGCTTTCTCTTTTCTGCTCCCTTAATTAGTATTTAAATATTCCGAGTGAAGTGGAATAGGTCGAATAGGAGCCATTAATGACCTGAATCCAGAATACTCTGTTTACTGGAGTGTTCATCTGGGAAGTGGAACAGACAAGTCAAAATCTACCTGCTCTCTCATTTAAAGCAGACTGCACTGAGGTTTCTCACATCCCAACATCCCAACTGAATTGCCCTAGCAACAATATTATTATTTAAAAAGAATAACCTTTTTTTTTTTTTCCCAGCAGCATGACTAGCCCTCTGCTTTTAATACACCCAGCCTCAAAAAGGTATTTCACATTAAATATTTTTCCTCACTATTTGGGGTGGGAGGGGCTGGTGGCAGATGGGATGAAGGATGTAATATATGAAATAACTATGAAATAATATAAATACAAAAAATTAATATTTTACATTTGAACGAGTCTGCATGGTTTGGTTTATTTTTTTGTATTTTTTTTTCCTGAGGAAGTGAGAGGTATAGCCACTGAACTGCAAAATCAAGTGCCCATCCTTAACCGTGGATTCCTATGCTTATTATACCTTAAGGAAAGCTCAGCTTACAAATACAAAGGATATTTTATCTAAGCTGCCAGCACTGTAAGCTCACCCTGGACTCTGAAAGTTGCACTGTGTTTTCCTCAGTGTTGTCACCAATCAGCAAGGTTCATTTACATTTATGAGACCTTATGGGTCCTCATATTATGTCTTCAGTTAAAACTCTGAAGCCAGAGGAACTGTAAGAATCTCACACAGTTTCAACTCTTTGGAATTTAGCAAATCAGTCTGTGGATGTAAAGGTGATTTGTGACCTGATGGGGTAGGACTGTGTGCATGAGAAATTGTGATGTGGAATCAGAGGTATGTATCTCTGAAGTAATCTTTTTATAGGAATGTATATATAAGGCTAAAACTTTTTACTTCCCAATCTCATTGAAAATAGATAGCAATCACAATCCAAAGTGCTGCGAGGCTCTAACAGACAGTTGATAGCGGGTTAAAATCGGACAGCTGAAATTGTTAGAGCCTTCAGCTGCACCTTCCATCCCTCTAATGGATGTTGCCTGTTCGTCTAAATATACTACAGTAAACTGACTTGGATTTTGGTTGGCCATAAGACAATACAGCAAAATCTGTCTTGTGACAGGAAATGTCTGTTTTATGGATGGGAAGGACGGCTGCAGAAATTCAGGAATCTAATTTTAACCTGTTGGTGAATGTAAAAATAAAACTTGTAAAATTAAAACTTGATATGCTCCATCAGGCAATTTCAAAGCAGCAAAGCCTCCAGCCTTTCTCATTCATTGCCTTGCTGGATGCCAGAAGTCACTGACCACACGGGCAGGGGCTCCGCTCAACTTTGACACTTTGCTGAGAAAAGAGAGAATTGCTGCTTGCTGGATTGATGTACATGGGCCATATGTAGCTCCCTTCTTTCTCTACTGTGCTAGCTGTGTAAACAGCATTATCTCAGTTTTAGGGAGGAGATTAGCACTGGTAGGAGATGGATAGCAAAGCACACAACACTGCAAAGCAGGGACCAGACAAAGTAAAGCTTGCATGGCTTGCACCATGGCTACAGCAATAATGGAGTGGTTGTTGGAGGGGCAATCATTCCGGTGTCATTGCCTCTTTTTTTTGGAATAAAGAAACTATGATGGTATTAGCATGCAACCCACCCCTGGTGGGACTATGTGGCATGAAACAATGCCTTCTTTCACGATTCTTTAAATTCCTCCAGCTAGTTTTGCATATTAGTAGCCATGGATAGAAGTGCATCAAAGAATACACAAAAATCTAATTTCTATTTTCCATGTTTAATGTATCCTATCCGAGCTCCTTCAGGTAGTTTAGAAGTTACTGTTCTGTAGATGATGCCCAACAATCCTGTGAAGATATCTCTGGTACCATAAGGTACCTATAACAACGCTAGGGACTTATTCTTTGGCATCTGAATTCTTTGGCAAGTGTCTGCACTGGGAACCTCCAGCAGCATGTTTCTTAGCTTGAATTGCAGATAAACTTTGGTCCACAGCTGTTCAGTTTCAGTTCAATGCATGTAACTGTGGTGATTTTATTGTATAGCATCTTGGGATTTTGGGGAGAAAATTCATGCGGCTGTATCAATAGCCAAGAGCATGCAATAGATAACCTTCTGTCATAGTTCGGTTGTGTTGTCTCTGCAGTGTTGCTTAGATTGATAAGTTGAAGGAAACTATTTTCTTCATCATAATAAGGGCATACAACTCTGAGTTTGAAAAGTTAAGTATACTAAACAAGAAGGAACTTCTTTTACATAGCAACTTTCCTAGCAGAATGATCCTATGAATGATATTTATCGATATGTGTATATATATATATATGTACACATAGACAGTTTTAATTGCTTTTGTTATAACTGTGCAAAAATCTGCCGTTCGTGTGTCATTGGAGAGATGTTATGATACTAAACAAATTTTCAAGATGAGACAGTACCTTTCTGTTCTCTCTTATACATCATAAAACCTGACTGATATCCCCAAGGAAAAAAGTGCATAATGTGTCGTTTATAACCTGTTACATGCACAAATTACTTCCCTTTTGTATGTGTGGCAGTAGGATAACAAAGAGCTGTTGATTTGGAATTTGACTTCATGAAGTTGATCTTTATTGCTAGTTGTCACTTGGCAGATTTTCCCTCCTGCAGTGAAATGTTTGATCCAAAATTTATGTTTGGAGAAATAGAAGCAGTGATGTTTTTTAAAGAAAGAAAGTATATAAATAGCATCTTAGTAGATACACACTATTCACAACCAGAATAAACCTTCTACAGATAAGACTAAATTTCAAACAAGTAACAAAAAATGCATAGTATGCCAATCTTGTTCTGCTTATTTTGCTCTTCAGAAAAGCAGCTTTCCAGGGCTTGAAATAAGACACTGATCACTGTCAGGATGGTTGTGCAGAAGCAAGCTGAAAAGGTGAAAATAAGGGAAATATACATGAATGCAATGCATAACATTATAAATGAAAAATGTGAAATAATCAAGGGTCTGAATTTGAAAATATTATGGTTTGATTGGTATGGTGTGATTAGGAATCAGGGAACCTCTGACACCAGCACTATCCTTCCCAGCACTACAGATACATATGAGATACATAAAGGACATTTCTGTGTCATTTGAGAGCATTGTTCTCACTTTCTACAGAATAAGGAACAAAATCAAGCATCTTTAGCATGAGGACTGGAAGACTTGTTATTCCATCTTCTTTTTCTAGGTATAAATGTTTATATCTATAGGTAGTACCGTGGATCTCCTTCTTTCTATATATGCATTCATTTCTTTAAGAATATCAGGGTAATGATTCTCAAATAGAGGCTATATATACAATGTGAGGTCTTCAGCAGTCTTGTGCCGTGGCTGTAGTGCTAGTTTCTAAACTAGCATATTTGTCATTTTCTGTGTGAAAAATAAAACTAAACCTATTTATCTTTGTATAGTGCAGCTCTGCCACTTTCATAACCTCCATCATTGTAAAGAAATTATCAGCTTTATAGATTGCAGCAGCTGTGACAGGACACAGGCGAACTCAGGGTGAGAAGCAATAGTTTGAGTAAACCGAGTATTACCTGATCCCTTGAAAGTTCAAATCTTTATGCAGTCAAGGGTCTTTGAACTCACTGGCGTTCGTTACTGAGTCAAATGGACTCAACCAGCCCAGGAACATATGTAACATATCTTTGATGAATTTTTTAACAGTAGGTTAGAATTAAATATCATAAACTAAGCTGGCAGAGGTACTATGCTCTTCTGCTGTTGTTGTGGAGTTATGAATACTGTCACTGTTTTTGTATCTTCTGGCAAATAAACACCCACCAGGATTGTTTAGATTATCGCTTTCTTTTATGGGGAAGAATAATAGGAAAACTTTTCAAATGTTTTCAGGTTTCAATTACCACACCTTTTTTGTTTTATGTAGAATTTATGTAGAACTGTTCTTAATACTCTAAGCGGAAGTAGATTAAGTTACTAGTGCTAACTATCTGATAAACAGTTAAGGTGTGGTAACTGCTTACTCAGTTAACATGCATGCCCATCTTTCTACCACCTTTCTAGTATCAAATCTATATTTTATAGTGTTAAGTCTGTGTTGACACTGTAATTTTTGTTTGTTAGGAAATTATTTCATTAAGAGAAAAATGCTATAAACAAAGGTATTTAAAAATCAGCTACAAGCTTATTCATGAATTGTAATGATATTGGATATACATATCATTTGTGTTTCTATTAGATGAAATTAGGTATAAACATTCTCATTGCCATCAATGTGTCCTTGAAGGCAGAATTCTAGCCAAACCTCAAGTGATGCAAATGCGTTAGCTCCATTAAAGCCAATGGAAGTGCATTTAATCATATCACCTGAGAATCTGGCCGTAAGCCCATAACAAGGCAGCCCTTTAGAGAGTAATAGTATTTTATGGTTGCATCAATCACTCTTCTAGATCTGTACCTATTCATGGCAGGCTAAAAAAATGTCATGTAATGATCAAAAAGGCCAGTCACAGCTATTTCACCATGTTTGCTCCCAAATTAACTTTATTAATTGTGTCCTCAGTTCAGAAAAACCTCCTTCTTCTGGAAAGCACAAGAGCTTGTCTTTAATATTACCATATTTTCATCTATATGTTGAGCATTCTGAGTACACAAGGATTTCAAAAAAACATTCATATTCATGATTTTTAGGCTCCAATATTCTATTTTCTCTGCTTTGAATATTCATCTAGGACGTATGTCTACAACCACGACAATAATAGATGGTAAGAACGGATCTGTTCCTACGACATCCATGAAAGCTGGCAAGAAATCGGTTACAGAGGACCTTGTGACAACGTTCAGCTCACCAGCAGCATGGCTTCTTGTTGTTGCTCTGATTGTTACTTGGTCAGCAGTGGCTATTGTAATGTTTGACTTGGTGGATTACAAAGCCTTTGCAGGTAAAACTCAGCATATTCTGTTTCACATCTTGCATATTGAAATTTAAACATTTATTAAAGAGTGCATATTATGTAAAAATGCATGTACTTTACCATCTTGGCGCCTGCTCAGTGTCTCTAGTGAGTTTACCAACAGAGGAGATATTGTGAGAAATGACAGAACATATTAATTTACATTCACACATCTTTATAATTTAGATCTCTGTTTCACAGCCCGTCTTCATCCTAGAAAATGTTTATGTTTCCAATAATATAAGATATATATGAGCATGCATGGCCTGATTTCAGTTTTGCATTTTCTATATTAAATTATTTCAAAACTAATGAAATGAATTAGAATTTCACACATATTTTCTTAACTATGTTATAAAATCTTTCATAGCTGTCTTGTGCTTCTGATACCTGCTTACACACTTCCGTTACAAAAAAATATGCAAAAGATCATTTATAAAGATGCTAACCCTAAAATCATTTTCAAAAAACATAAGCATAGAAGACTAGATCCTTAATATTAACTGTCAAACCCGTGTCTTGAGTAACGCAATAATTCAGCCCATTTAAGACTGGGCACACTAAACAAGATCAAGCTTCAGAGTGTCTATTGATTGCTGAGGGCAAAGACGCAGATCAAGGCATGTGTGTGTGGTGCAAGGGCTGTGTGGCTGAGGAATGGGAAAACAGATGTGATGCATAAAAATGGCCTCATTCTTATTTGGTTTTTAAGCCTTATATTTAGCAATGATATACAACAGAAAACAAAATAAACTGCCTGTGGTTTTTAAAGGAGCATAGCGTTCAGCAAGCAACCTCGGAAGCAAAACTTTTGTGAGGTAAACAGGCTGGTGTAAAACATGTAAGTGAAACAGAAAGCAAATGATTTGGGCCCTTTTCTTTCTCAAATAAGAACTCCAGCTCTAAAGTTATTACATCTGTCACCATAATTAACTAGGAATTGAAATTCAGACTTCAGCCTTTTAATGCAAAACAAACTGAGTTAATGTTTCACAGTTAATTTCCTGGACTTTATAAGTTTACTGATAAATCTATAGATTTTTGTCCTGTTATATATCACTATTGACTCCAAGATTTACTGAAAAAGCTTTTGAGGCATAGACAGAGCTTGAAATGAACCTACCAGTCCTGGATCAACGAGCGATATAGGAGTTCGATTTGTAGAGAAACCTTTTTTAAATTTTTTAGCTTCTCATCTGTTTTTGTTTTCAGAGGGAAGTTACCTGAGTCCCAAGAAAATAGAATAGTTCCTTTTGAGTGATTCTCTCAAAGCAGGGATCACATTTCAATTTGGAGACTGCCTGCTTAATAATACAAAGTAGATGTAAGCCAAGAGAGAAACCATCATACTCTGCTTTTATCTTTTTTTAATGAACTCTCAATCAATCCATCAATCAAATTCTTAATAGTTTTTCAATGAGCAGTCAGGAACCAGGACATTCAGACAAAATTTTTTTCTTAAACTAAGCAGTTCCTGGGTTACCTGTCAGCTCATGTATGCTCACTATACCACTCAAGGTAATACTAAGCAGTGAGAATCCATATCGGTATTGGAGACTGAAGGAATCATTCTAAGCAGATGAAAATCTGATGTTCATGTCGCACTGGTTAAATTAGCTTAAATCTCAAAGACATTAATGGAAACTGATATTTTCAGACCAGGCTATGGAAATAAAATAATATAAAATTTAATCTGAAATGTAACTTCATACTTTATGGAAACCTATGAAAGATGATGCTTTAACATTTTGGGTTCAAGAGTTCATATCTTTTTCTTCTCAAAGATATTTCTGCTCCTAAGTGATTAATTAAGCCAGCATTTAAATCATACCTCAGTGGTGAAATGTTAAAAGAAAGACCTATTGCACTCCTTTAGCCCTGGATTTATTAGGCTACTTTCTATATTTACATAAATGTAAGAATTGCTACATAGGTCTTATCACGGCCCCTGTGTTTCCAATTCTGAGCTCCTTTTCAGTCTGATTTTTCCAGGTGAAACTCACTGATTTAAACAAATGCTATGGAAATAGCTGAAGATTTCACATAGGACCACCGTGCTGGCCTTGTTAATACCACAGTGATGTTAGCAATAGTCCCTCACCAAGCAATTGCGCTAGATGAACTTCAGACATGCCTGCTGATCAACAGTTATGTGACTGCACGATTTCATGAAAATCTCTCTTAGAATTGAATTAGCTATTTAGAAATCAGCTATCCAGAGATCTCAGTAGAGACACAAAGATAATGAGGAAGGAGATTCTCACATATGGGGAGTGAATCTGTGGACGTCTGTAGTTAAGATTTCGCTCCTTAGTTAATACAGTTAATCCTGCTGATTTTAATGCAGGTGTTTTGCAGTGACTCCTAGTGGGATGATTTAAAAGCGTACTGCCACCCCTTACAAAGCCGGTTCCTGCCAGGTTTGCATATAGCTGGGAAGAGCTCTGGTAGTGCTGAATGAAGTGCCATGTGCCTCCCTACCGAGGCTTGGTCCTTACCTACTGAGCCTTGTCATCAGACTTCCCCCTCTGCCTCTGTGCCAGAAATTACTGTCTCCACAGCAGGGCTGCTCATGCTGAACAGGTACTGGGGTCTTTGCTGTCGTGGAACTGACTTAGGCTGAAAATACTGGTGAGCCATCCACAAGCTGTGAACTGCGTTATTGAGGAATATACACAGGTTCGGTTCTCCTGACTGCTGTGGAGCTGCTAGTGTTTGGCACAGAAAAAAGCTGTAACCTTTAATTTATGAGAGTTTACCTCAATGCACCTTGCGATTGCACACTGCTATTCATGGAGCTCAGTAGAAACACAGTAGAATTGACCTTGGTAGAGTAGAATGTGTTTTAAATTTAACTTGAGCTTTTTTTCCCTTATTGGAACAACTATTCTTAATTTTGCTTTCAATATCTTAAAGTAAAATAATCTCAATGAATGCATATAATATCAGTATTTTTTTTTAGCTGCTAAGTTTTTTTTTTTTTTTTTTATAACCAGTATAAACTCCATATTGGGTCTATGAATACAGAAGGCCAAGGCATAGATTTCTCTCCTAACTTCCACCATTTCATGTCCTTTTAGAGGTAAAATAGCAAATTGGGAAGTTTGATAGCTGCAAATTGGGAAGTTTGATAGCTTATACCAGATGAGATTTGTCCCAAATATAACTGTGTGAAAATGAGGTGTTTGATTTCATTCTAAAATAGTTATAGTAAACTACTTTTTTGGAGGGCCCTTTCTCTGTCCTACCTGAAAAGGAGCCTCTAGAACAGAGGGGAACTAACGCTCAGCTAAACGGCTGAATTTAGATGAAATGAATCCAGGCTCCACTCACAGAAACATTTAAGATATGGTTTGTGTAATTTTACATAATGAAAAAATGATTCTTGCAAATTCAGTAGCATTTGGGAGATGGTGGTTGTGACATAAAATATTTCAGGTGGACCCTGCTTTGTGGGGCACATGTGAGAAACTATGTGCTTCTTTGGTGCTACGTGAAAGCAAGTTTGTTCAGAGATGAGAGCTCAAATGGGATTTAGTAGTCAACTTTGGCTGTGGAATTTGAGGGAAGCGTGAGCCAAGAATTAGGTCAGGGCTGAAAGCTTCTCTCCTATTCTATCTATCCAGAAGAAAGAAATTAAATTTTTCCATGTTTCACATTAGTATGACATGTTCATTCCTTTGAGGAAAAGAAATGAGAGCTTTTATTCCTATTATGCTATATTGTACAACTATAAACCTGACTGAAATATTTCTAAAGTGGTATGAAGATGACATGCATTACAAAAGCCAGGGATACGGCACTATGAATTTCATGTAATATGTCTTGTGCATGAATATGCAATAAGAGCTATACTGCATGGGAAGCTCCCTTACACATTCTAAGCATTTTCAGAAATGGAAAAGAGATTCATTTTGGTTTGAGTGCTTTGCAACAGTTTGTTATTAGTCCCATCCCTCCTGTTAGAAAATACACCTTGTTAATTGGCTTAATAATTCATGAATGTATTTCACACATTTCTTGTACACATAACTGGATTATATATTTTAATTGGTATGAGTAACTAAATAATTTAAGAATATTTTAGTCCTAAAGATTGATTGCCCAGAAATCCACATTTGCTAATAGGCTAATAAAGTGTTCAGAATTCTCAGCCACCTCTGTGACCAATTACAGCTAATTAACACCACCCCAATTTCAGCTCCAGAGTGTTCAATATTCAGAGTGAATTGATGGTAATTTAGCTAGTCATTTAAAAGCCAGACTAAATCAAACCTATTGAAACCTCACCAAATCTATGAAAACCAAAGCAGTCAAAAAATAGTCTAAGTAAGTGAGAGTGCACGCATACATATGACATAGTGAGCTTGTCATCTTCTCGTGACTGTTTTCATAACAGAAAAAAGAATAGCCTTTTTGTTGTGGCTAATTCACTCTGCTCAAGCACAAATGCATGGAGAGAAACTTTTAGAGATCTGCAGCAAAGGCAGATCTCCATGGAGGAAATGCCTGTTGCTGGCAGGAATGGAAAGCAGTGAATGGAGGCATGGAGCTGCTGGTTTCACAAGAAACTGCAGGGATTCCAGTCAAATACTCTGTTTTTGTGCTTCTTGTTGTTGTTAAAGGCAAAGCGTCTGGCCGAATTGCTGTGAGCTTCTCCATGTCAGCTGCTGACTCTAACACAGTCTGAAGTCACCATTTTCCTACCTTAACTTATGGTCACATCTGTTACTGTCTTTTAGCTGCAGAAAGCTTTTGGGTAACCCTGGATAGCCAGAATGATATACCCATTCATATTTTCCGGCAGAGAAAAACAATAACTATTAAGAACCCAGTTTTTGCATTAAGAAGTGTATTTTGGAGGGAAAAAACATGCAAGAAAATAATGAAAAGAACTCTAAAAAAAATTGTGTCATATAACGGGCACATGGACCTTTATTTCCCCATTCCCCTGCATGATAAAGCTGTAATGTGTGAAACCGGAATGT